TTTAATGTTTTAAATTATTTTAATGTGTTAATATTAAAAATAATTTTTTAGATATAAAAAGATATTATTTTAATAAATATTCAATTTAAAAACACTTTAAAGAAACAATCTACACGAAATCCAAACAAAGCAAGCAAAATAAGCATGCGCGCACACAGCGACACCCGCTCCAACCTGCATGATTACAAACCACCAAGCCCCTTTGATTTCCGGCAAGATTTCTTACGCCAAATCATGGTCTCGAATTAGAAAGGAACTTGTTCTTAACGAGGTAGATCTACATGTTCGAAGGGCACGATTTTCTTAACATTTGAGAATAAGGTTCCGCGTAGTAATTTAATTATTGAAGGATCCTACGTGTCTTGCTTCTACCGATTAGTTGGGAGGAGGGCGTAGGAATAAAAGAAAATGCTCGTCTTTCCCACGCATACGTGGATCAAACTAATCAAGTTAAAACATGTTAGCTGTTGAAGAGGATCCAGAGGGAGATACGCACTGTTTGTGGTTTTTTTTTAGCCACACCGTATTTGTAGTTTTTTAAAATAATTTTTACTATAAATATATTAAAATAATATTTTTTATTTTTTCAAATTTATTTTTAATATTAATACATTAAAATAATCTAGAAATAAGAAATAAGATTTAATTTAAAAAATTATTTTTAAAACATAAAAACAAACAAAATTAATGAATACAATAGGGTAGAGATGAGTTTGCTTACAGGCAATTTTTGTTACCCCAAATGGCATGGAGTCCAGCACATGGGAACAGTGCATTTCTCTACACTTTATTAATTGTCATCATGACCGCCTTTTCATGACCCAAACGAACACTTTTTACGCTTGCAATAATTTTTTTGTTTCCTTTCAAAATTGGGAGCCAAGTTTTATGTCACGCAACAAACTTTATCCTTGAAAAAAATTATAATTCATTTATTTGTTTGCTGAAAATAATTTTTTTAAAAAAATTATTTTGTTAAAAGATAGATTTCTAAAAAGAATATTATTTTTTTATGTTTGAAGATATATAAAAAATAATTTAAATATTTTTAAAAAGATTAAAAATCAAATTTAATAAGGGAAAAGGTTAAGGAAGATGATAAAATATTCTAATTTCATAAATTATTTCAACTAAAATAATCAAGAAAGATGATAAAATATTCCAATTTCATAAATTATTTCAACTAAAATAAATAACAAAAAAATTAAATTTGACAAATAAAAAACTTGAAAGAGAAAAACAAAGAATTTTAATTTAAAAATCTGATATTATCAATCAAAATTTTTAATTTTTTTAATTAAAAAATATTTCAAAACATTTGATATAAAAATTAAATTGAATTAAAAAATAAAAATAATTAAAATAAAATATATAAAAAGATAAAATCTGATATTATCAATCAAATTTTTTGAATTTTTTTCCTTAATTAAAAAGTATTTTAATTAATTAACTTTTGCAATTCTAATAATAATAACAAACAATTTTAACAATTTGGATCTCCTTAGCTTCCCGCCTGTGCATGGGGTTGCGTGAAATCAGCGGAGCATAAAACGAGAAAAAAAAGTACTCCCTTTCTTTGAAAAATGGAATCACTTATTCTTCACCTCGAGCGCGTGTAAACTGTAAGAGGAGCATGTGGCGATCTTCAACGATTCTCATTTTTCTGTTACGTCGAAAATAACACTGTTAATTTACTCCTACAATCTTTTTTCCAGACCGATAACCATTTACTACCAATGCTTCATCCATTACAGATTCACCGTCTTTTTTTTTCAGAATATTTGAATTCCAAAACTTTCTTTTACAGGGAAAATTACATGCATATGATTAGTACTTAAAAATATATTTTTCGGAATATTTGAATTCCAAACTTTCTTTTACAGGAAAAATTACATGTACACTGTTAAAATTTAAAAAAAAAAGTTAATTTATTGATTTTTTTGTATTATATTAATACACAAAAACTGATTTAAGTACTTATATTTATAAAAAAAATTAATAAAAATATCTATTAACACAGTAAATAGTATGAACAAAAAACTTGTGTTCCAAAACATTAAGAGTACAACCTAGAATTATAAAAAAATTAAAAAATGTAATATTTTTTTTAAAATATATATAATTTAGTAATATGATAGAAAAATTGTTTATATGTAGGTTTAAAACTCACATAATTAAAAGAATCCAAAACTAACTATAAAAATAATTAAAATAAAAAAAGCAATATCTTCTAAATTTTTAATTTGAGATTCTTGATTGGCTAGAACGAGTAAATCATCTAAAAAATATAAATATAGTTCAATTATTATATCTAAATTTATGATTATTTTTATTAAGTTGCATGCTTGATGTATTTAGACAAAATTATATGATTTTCTTAGTCTATCTAGTTTATAAATATATTTGCAATATATTATTATATGTTAATCATTTTTTCTTGTTAAATACTCGATCTTGAATTAACTTTAATAAAAATAAAAATCAAAAACATTAAATTTTTTAAAGATACTCATATTATCTAGTAAATTAAATTGATAATATAAGTATTATTATTAATATTCTTGATAACCATATTTTTTATGCTGCGACCTATTACACAACCCCGCTAGACATCTTTCTTTACATAGAAATGCGAACACTCATCTCATTTTTTAAACACTTTAGCGTGAAAGTGTTTGTCAACAACCCTTTTGTATTTGGCATTAGTTTTCAAATTTTTTTGACTTGCGTCTTCTAATATAGCTTACACATCCATAGTTATTTTTACCATGCAATGAAAAATAAACTAAAAATATTTTTTTAATTTTTTTCTTCAAATTTATTAAAAAATTAAGAATCAATCTTGACAAGTGAAAAGATTAAAGAAAAATGAAATTGATAAATTATTTTAACTAAAATAAATAACAATTAAAGAGATAAAGATCAAATACACTATATCTAATTGTTGGGTTCCTAAATATCAGACACTGATAAAAATCATAAAATAAAATTATTCGAGAGTTTTTAAGATCTCATTAGATAAATGTAGAGTTATTTAAAAAATTATTATTTAAAAATTTAATAATTTTTTGCTTTGAATAATTTTTTAAAAACTAAGTTGGTGCAAATCTCAAGTTGTCCAATCATCTGGCCTTCAAAAATAATCTATATAAAACCATCAAAGAAAAATCTTTTAAATCTCTATTTAAAAATAAATTAAAAAACTTCTAAATCTCTATTTCAAAAAAAAATATCACGTCTAAAATGCTGATTTTAATATTTTATTTTCATAGTTTTTTATATAGCCTATAGTTGCTGTCCACTTTTTAAATAAAAATCATAATTTATTATTTTTAAAAAATCTAAAATTATTCTATAAATTATTAAAATATCAATTTATACCTTCATAATATCCATATTTTAAAATCAATAAAAATCTCAGAATCACAAACATATGACACGGATATTAATTGGGTATTTTATTTTACATAAAATAAAAATAGAAAAAAAAATTGTATGACACGCATGTTTAATTATTAACTTCATTACTGCTAAAGAATGAGGGGAAAGGAAGAGAGAGTAAAGGGAACTGGTAGTGTCTTCGATCGAGAGTTCTGAGCACAATATGTTGTTTCAAAGTACAGGCAGCAGGTGGAGGCGGGGAGCACAAGTGGTCCGCCGAAATTATTACGTTGTATATGGAAATTAGCATTTTCCCCCATCTGAGCCATCAAGGACATTTTCCTTGAATACTTTTTAAGATTCATGTCGTTATATTATAATTCAGAAAAATACATAAATTTCTTTAATTATAGTAAATCGATGTTAAATGTATATTTTTAAGATTGTTAATAAAAAATACTTAATTTCGATTAAGATGTAAACAATTTATGGAAAAGAAAGAAGATTAGCTAGGTCAACTTTATTTTCAAGAACTGATCCAATAAAAAATCACAATTAATTATCAGAAAATGTATGGAATCCATTAAAACAAAATAAAAAGGCTCAACATTTCAGTATACATATATTCACATTTCTTCGTGAATTAGTATAATGAAATCACTATTTTATCTTGAAGAGTAAAGGGCAATTTCAGCATTTTATTTATTTATTTATTTTTGATGTGGGATAAGGGGTAATTGGACTTTATATATATATATATATTTGGTAGCAAGTGGGCGTGGACGTGCCCTTCAAGTGTTGTCTGTGGAGCTGTAAAAACTTTGAAGAATTTTTATTCATCATTTTATTTGCTGGAATTAGGATCTAATTAGTGTTTTTAAATCTTTTATAGTATTCAAATTAAAAATAAATTTTAAAAAATAAAAAA